GGGAGTGTGCATTCTCTAATTTTAAAAATTGACATAAATGTCTCTGTATTGACTGACATGCATGGTATCCCTTTTGAAAAAGTAATGTAATACACTGTAAAGTTATATGTAATCCAATGTAATATAAAGAAGATTATGATAATAATAAATAAAAATAAAAATAAATAAATAAATAAAATATAAAAAAAGGTGAAAACCCCGTTTATTAAAAAAAATTGACGTAAAATAGCTGTATGTATTTATGGGGTGCAGTGTGGTTTTTCCATACAATATACAATGTGTAGTGATCAAATCAGGGCAATACACCTATCTATCATCTCAACCATCTATCATTACTTTGTGTTGTTATCACTGGAAATCCTCTCCTCTGGCTATTTTAAAATAAATGATAAATTGTCACCAACTACAATCACTCTCCTATGGTATAGTGCTGTAGAACTTGTTCTATTTATCTACTTCCTCTCTTCTATTTGCTAACCGAAGTCTCTCCTCTGCCCTCCACAGTCCTCTTCTTCCCCAGAGTTTAGTATCCATTATTTAACAGTCCACTTCTATGCAATCAAATTTTTTAGCTTCTACTTTATTTTCATTTATTTTGTGTACTCAAATTTATTTCTGATAAAGTTTAAGTCTCTTTCTATGAATTTTGACACATCAATGACATTTTTATTTTTAATGCCTGTTGCTGCATTTGTTTTGAAGTTATATATTTATATGGATAAATATTATCCACTCTCATATATCCTCTCTGTGTTAAAAATAATTATTAATTTGATTCTTATCATTTTGAGACAGGAATTAGACCCAATAAGTAGGTAAAATAGGGTAGGGATCCCCAAGGAAGAATCATTATGATAGGAAATGGACACACACACACATACACATAATAAATAAATTTTAAAAAGAAAAAGCATAATATTTGCCATGAAAATGAGGTGTGGATTGTGGAGTCGTGTAAAGTATGTACCTCAAGTAAAGGAAGAAATGAGTGACAAGAGATGGGTTTAATGAGAAATTCAAGGGCAACATACCATATAAATGTTTTATTGAATAACGTGACTAAAAAAAGGAAGAGATGACTTGATTAGAGTTTTAGTCTATGAAGTAGACTTATTGAGGAAGTGGCTTAAATGAAGAATTAAATGTGTTTAAATGGATTACAGAAAAAAGCTTAGATATAAATACTTTAAGATAGGTGGACTGGAAATGTGAGAAAACTAAGGAATAGTGAGTGAGGGAGAGAGAAAGAGATAACTGATTGACAAGATAATAAAAAATATAGAATAGATACGAGACAGCAAACCAGGCGTTAATTAGGGACTTTGAAATTTAAATTGAATACAGAAATGCATACAAATTATTTTAGTTAAAGAACAGATATTTAGGAAAACAAAGAACCATTGGAAAGTTTTTGTCCTTTAGTCTAAATATAAGGGAAAATAATATTGTAAAGCAAATTTCCAGTGTCTTTTAATTAATCTCTATCAATCCCTCATAGACAGGACAGTCTCAATCTCAGGGGAATAAAGGTCTTAATAAAAGCATAAATACCTCTCTTCAGCAGGTTAGATTGTGTGCCCCAATTGATGCCCTTTGGTGTTCCAACATGTGCTTTTTAGAGATTTAGAAATGAAGGTAAGTCATCTGAAGGTTTAGTAGTGAAATACAGTAGGAGTGATGGAATAAGGTTTATGGCAAAAGTGCAAAAAGGTGGATGACAGAGTAGGGAGAGAGAAATCATAAACATGTTCAAGACCATCCAGGACTACGTATATTTTCCTTCATATGCATGTTACTATGACCCTATAAAGTCTCCCATGCAGAACTAACAAGACTGTGAACATGTTGAGGAAAGAGATGTATTAATTTATCCTCTATCTGTTTAGCGATTGTTTTTGAATCTATGTAGACATACCCAAATATGTCAGCAAGAGGCCAAGGGCTATGTTTCCCAATGTTTATAAAACAGTAGCAAGTATAGTAAAGGTGATCTGTAGATGTTTATAAATAAATTTATGAAGACATGAATTATGAAGCATGCCCCTAAGAAATAGAGTTTGTAAAAATTGGACTCAGGAATGTAATGATGAAGAATCTGATAGAAGGAATGAGATTTCATGCTACAATGGCAGCTATGAGAAAGGAAGATGAACAGATATAAAATGAGAACATTACATTCTCCTCACTGTCATCTGACACAGGACTTGAAATGAGGTGTGTATTTAGGTTGTGGTAGAGGTGATTGGATTAAGGTAGAGTAAGAAAGTGCAAGGTTGAAGAAATGGCTGTTGAGTATAATTCTGTGTAGGGCTTCACTGTTAGGAGGTCACAAAAGGGGGGAGGGTATACAACCAAGACTTCTTTCTGTATCCAGCACAGATTGGAAGATAAGCCAATAAATTTTGAAATAATAGGTCAGTATACAGTTGTAGAAAGACTAAATGACCGAATGCTTTGAGAAATGTTTATGATCTTGAAAATAATGTTTTCCACAGATAAAAGGAAAGTCCATGTTTTAAAATACTTTTTAAAAAATTTATTTTGTATCTTTCCACTTTACTGTATGCATTTATTACTTCGATCATTTCTTTTGTGGATACTATTGGGTCTTCTATGTATACAATCTTGTCATCTGCAAACATATTTTCAGCTCTTCTT